TACATATCATAACATACATGATTGAGCCAACTACGGAAGCATAAGGTACTCTGCTCATCTCTACTATCTCGACATCGGTACTCGGGCTCTGAGTCTTACTTAACTTGGTATTGCTTTGGATCGGTAACTCCCTTTTCTTGGAATTTTCCTTGCTGAAACGTTTCAACACTTTATCCAAGTAAGTACTTTAACTAAGTCATATTAGTCTTTTACTCCTATTTCTCTATATCCTTATTCCCATAATATAAGCAGCTTCTCCGAGGTCCTTCAGAGTGAAGCACTTCCCAAGCCAGAACTTAACCTCCTGTAGGGTTGGGATGTCGTTTCCTATGAGTAGTATTTCATCCATATACAAAGCGAGAAAGCTTACTATGCTCCCACTGGATTTAAAATATACGCAGGACTCATCCTCACTTTTCGAGAAACCAAACTCTTTGACTTTCTCATCGAAACAAAGATTCCATCTGCAAGATGTTTGTTTCAATCCATAAATGGATTTATCAAGCTTACACACTCTATTAGGGTGCTTTGCATCGACAAAACCCTCTGGATGACTCATGTAAACATCCTCATCCAACTTTCCATTAAGGAAAGCGGTTTTGACATCCATCTACTATATTTCATAATCATAAACACAACTATGGCTAGCATACCCCTTATAGATTTAATCTTCGCTACTGGTGAGAAGGTCTCATCATAGTCAACTCCTGGAGTTTGAGTAAAGCCCTTTACAACCAATCGCACCTTATATGTGTGTACTTTCCCATCCAAGTCGGTCTTCTTCTTGAAGATCCATTTGCACCCGATCATCTTACAACCTGGCACATTGTCAACCAAGTTCCAAACTTGATTGTCATACATGGACTGAATCTTTCTGTCCATAGCCTCTTTCCGTTTCGCAGACTCCGGGCCTGCCATGGCTTCCTTATAGTTGTTAGGTCCATCCATATTTATTAGTGTACTATCACTAATAAATGCATCACCCTCAGCATTTATATGGAAACCATATAATACGAGTGGAATACTAACTCTACTGGAACGTCTAAGAGGTAATGACTCGTCAATTGGTTCAACAGGAGTTTCCTCCTTGGGTTGAGCGCTAGTGTTAGAGGTTACTTCATCACTTGATTCTTGAAACTCTTCAAGATTAACTTGCCTCCCACTATCCTCTAGGCATATGAGTTCTCTCTCGCGAAAGATCCCTCTCCTCGCAACGAAGACAACATTGTCACTTGGTCTATAGAAGAGATATCCAAAGGACTTCTACGGGTAGCCGACGAAAATACATCACTCACTAAGAGGTTCAAGCTTTTCGTGAGTATCTCTTCTTATAAAAGCCTCACAACCCCAAACCTTGAGATGTGCCAACGAGGGAATCTTCCCTGTCTACATCTCGTGAGGTGTTTTGGCAAATAATTTAAAGGTAGGTAAATGACGATTTACCAATTTCCACCATGAAAAACGAAAAAGGATTTAAAGTTTTAAATGAATTTCAATTCCTAAATTCTTTTGAGATTCACTGAACTTTTCAATGGCATGTTTAAATCTTGAGTATGCCCTTCAAGTTTATGATTGGGATACTGAGGATCAGAAACAAGGTGTGAATACCATGCAAATATGCTTGGTACTCTCGATGTCATTTATCACCTAATCAATGTGTCGGTTAGCCACACACGCTCCATCAATCTATGATAAACATCGAGCCACCCTTTGCCACCTTTGCTAGTCCCAAATTAGTGTGTCAGTTAACCACACATGCTCCACTAACGACTTGGCAAAGTGTAAAGTGCAATTTCATGGAATAACATACGTTTTCCCATTTTTCGTAAAGTAACTAAGATTGGGAATTTATAAAACATTTAGTTACTTTATATAATCATTATACTTATTAATGAGGAATTAGTTGTAATGTCCTACCCGTTCGGCTAACGACCCTCAACTAGTCAAGAATGCGGTGGGTAAGAGTGGATACCCAATGACGATCATTTTACAGCCACTTCCTTAAACACCCCTTATAGACTAGCTTCGTGAATGAGGCCTACTAACGGTAAAACTGATTTGTCTTATATATATATATATATATATATATATATATATATATATATATATATATAATTAGTCTTTTAATATTGTAATAGTATAAGGGTTAAATTTTTAAAATTTTAAAACTCTAGGGTTTAGAATTTAAATATTTCAAAATTAAAACTTTTTAATTAAAATTTAAATTCCAAAACTTGAGAGCAAGCTTTGAAACTTTTCAAAACCTTCTAGATAAAATTAAAATAATTTAATTCATCAAATAATTTGTCATTATCTAAATTGACCTAATTCAATTTATGGCAAGATAATTCACATCAAATAATACGCATAATTATCTTTATCATATAAACTAATAATTATCTTATGGATTGACAATTATCTTCTAATTGGATTAAGATATGCATTACTATAACAGATAAAAACGAATTTTAACTAGAAAAACAGTTTATGGTAATCCTCCAAATCCAATCTTAGCCAAAATCCCAAAAATACACATTCTAACTCACTACCATGTCGTGGCAAGATATGCCACCTCGTGGTCATCAGGTATGTGCAAAATTGAAAAAAATCATTTGCTTTGAATAATTAAGCATGGCATTAAATGCAATAGAAAAACAGTCTAGGCTCTAATACCACTTATGGGTTTTGAGCAAAACAACAATCCTATGGTGCACATGCAAACCCCAAAGCTTTGGATCTAGTTTTTCTAATTGTACATGCAATAATCATCTAAAGCTTATAAACCCTAATCTAGCATGCTTATTTTGAAATTGACACAATAAACAAGTTAGAATGATACCTTTCTGTGTAGCTTGAAGATCTTCAGCCTTTGAGAGATTTAGTATCACAAGTGTAATACCTTTAATCGATCACAAACACCAAGAGCAAGTTGGGAGAATATGAGAGAGATAGAGGCTAGGGATACTAATTTTCAGTTGGAACTCTTCTTAGGGTTTCAAGTGGCCGAAAATATGATTCCCCAAGGGTTCCTTATATAGCTGAGGTATTAGATTTTCATTCAAATACCTAATCTGGTTGCTTAGGCCTTAAGCAGCCCATAGGATCCTTCCAGAACACCCTATAGATGAATTATATGTGGGCTTCCATAAGAATTCCGTCCATCCCTTAACTAAAGGATCCACAACCTATTTTGCAATTATCTTATAATTACAATATCAGTTCCCTTTATTTAATTAATCTCTTTTGATCACAAAATTAATTCTAAACTAATTTTTGACCAATATCAATTAAATAATATGATTTCTCTTTTAATATATTATTCACATAATATATTAATAAATCATAATTAACATCTTTCTCCATAATTCATCCAGTCAAATTGTTGTGATGAAGGCAACCCAAAAGGACCATACTACTACCGGGTCAAGTATATACTAATTATAGTTATGAGCTTAGACACCTAATCTAACACCATATTCATTTGAAACCTACAAAACTTTATATCTTCTCTTTTAATTAATATTAATCAACCATTACAACTCAAAAGTTTTATAACCAATAATATTTATGATCATTAATCAATTGATATAGTTTATGAATGTATATAATGTTGTTAGGGTTTTCAATTTGTTTTGTTTGGTTGATAATAAAATATGTTTTATATATTTCTATATCGTATACAAATTTTTTAAAGATTGAAAGGTTAATTAGTATTTTGAGTTTATTTTTCCGCTTATTATTTCTCTTTCATGTTAGAATACTTTGAAGCTTCTAAGGTTTTCATAACAATCATATCATTTTTATGCATTTACATATATGATTTTTTAGGGTTGGATAATAAGTCAAATTAAAAAGTTGATACACGTGTAAGATTACTAAAAACTAATTATTTAGTTATATATTACTATATTTGATATTATATAAAGTACAAATTTCTACTATATTTTTTGTTTCAATGCAATTAGTTTCAATATCATTTATATTAGATGAATTGTTAAAATTAATGAATTAACTTTAATATGCACAAGGGAAGAATCCTGTGTTGCGGGTGTTGGAGTTGCAGGGGTTGGAAGATATTTTATAGTTAATTATTAAGAAACAGGAAATAGCAACAAACTTTACAATGCTTTACATATAATGGCTCTAATTTTTTTCTATGTTGCTATAACAAAATGTAATGTTAAATGTTGATAATTTTACAAAGAATCAAATTTCAATGCTCTATATGCTATACATGGTATTTCTAAAAATACAAGACAAAACTGCAGAAATGGTCCCTGTGGTATGTATTTTTTTGGGGGTTTTAGTCCAAACCACGACTTTATTGGATTGATGGCCCTTTTGAGATAGTTTGCTTGTGACTTTGGTCCTTCGCTCAACTGAAAAGATGAAATTGCCCTTAGTATATTTATTTTTCATTTTTATTTTTTCCTATAAATATTTATATATAAAAAATAAAAGTAGGGGCCCACATACCCACCTCTCTCTCTCTCTCTCTCTCGCTCTCTCTCTCTCTCTCTCCTGGTACACTTTGCCATTTCTACACATTACAAGCAATCGAATGCCTTTTAGGCTCGAACCCACTAAACTAGGGACATAAATCCATTACTCTTGTTACCAGGGATACATAAATCATGTATTGCAGCTTTAAAATCTTTAAGTCATCCACGAAGTGTACTTATAGGAACAAAAACATATACACACAAATACCCACACACCTGCAGATAAATAATGAACACATAAACACACACACACACATTATAATCGATTTGCAAGTGAATGTGTGTCTATGTGTTATTTTCATTTATCCATGAAGAAGCTCTTGAAATCAACAAGTGGAAACCCTCATAAAACCCATAACTGTGAATAGGGTGGCGGTGTAAGGAGGTGTTGTTGAGATGGTAGTAACGGTGGTTAATGGAGGGTTAAATGGTGGTTGACATAGCTATAGGGTAGTAATGGTGTTGCACGTTTGGGGCATATGAGAAATACGTAGGAGGATGGTTCTCGGTGGTAGTTTTGATGATGATGATGCTCATGGAGGTTCAATAACCATTAGTGGTGGGAAAGAACCACCCACTGTCAGTTACCAATGTCTGCTATCATCCCCACCTTATCTCAGGTTCAACTCCATTGTTGTTTCTGTTGCAGAGCCAATGAGTTTCCCACCCACATGAGTTCAATCTCCGCATATGAGGATTTGGGTTTGGAAAAATTACATGTGGTTAGGGATGAGATGGAGAATACAGGAGAGGCTAAATAAAGGAGGAAATGGATGGGAGGTGATAATCGGTGGTGATTGTGGTGTTGCCGGAAAAAATAGAGGTGTAGGGGTTCTTTTCCTCAAATTTGATTTAGGGTTGCTGACAGGAAGGGATAGCAGTGGATCTGTTAGCATTGACCGGGGTAGGGTCAACAAATCATTAACCTTGGCCGGTAGCGTCCGATGGTGCCATGGTAGTGGTGGTGGGAGCAAATTGCAGCTTTCGGTTGTAATGGAGAGGTGGATTAAATGTTTCAAGAGGTGAGGGAGAAAGACAAAGTTGGGTGTATGTGTGTGTTTATGAGAGAGAGAGAGAGAGGGGTGGGTCCCGTATTTTTTATTAATAAAACTATAAATTAAATAGGAAAAAAAATATGAAAAGTATATCAGAAGGGTATTTTAGTCTTTTCAGTTTAGCAAAGGATGAAAGTCACAAGTAAACTACCTCAAAAGAACCGCCAATCCAAAAAAGTCGTGGTCTGGACTAAATCCCCCAAAAAATTCATACCACAGGGACCATTTTTGCAATTTTGTCAAAATACAATGCCATACCTATGAAAATGGTCAAGTAAAATCAACTAAAAGTGTAATATCTTATCTTGTAGATAATCCCAATCTGTTAAGCACATCCAATGCTTTCATTTAAATTCCCAGCACAAAAGCTCTGGTGGACCAGCTTCAGTTTCACCTTCCAGCTACTCATCTCCAAATTTGAAATAAGTTTGAACAATTACTCAAATTCAGAATATGTGTTTAGAAGAAATGAAAGGATAAGGGTATTAAAGTCTTTTGACATGAGTATCAGTTTAACTACCTGTTTAGGTCCCACACCATCAACCTTTTGTCATCAGCAGAAGATGCAATCACGATTTCATGATTTGGTGTAAATTTAAAGAAAACATAAAAGAAAACAAAAGAAGAAAACCATTGTATCTGAAGATGCTATAGCCCAAACCCACTCATTTAATGGATTAAAATATAAATAATTCACCTGGAAATTATTACAAATTTCATTAGAAAACTAAAAAACAAAAGCTATTAATATAAAAGTTATAAAAACAATCACCTCTTTCTCCAGGAGTAAAACAGATTGTTCATGTTTATTTGTGCGTAAATCCCAAATCATTAGCTTGCAATCTTCCCCAATAGATCCAAATAAGCTTTCATTCTTCAAATCCCATGATACATCTTCAACTAAATTCCCATGATCTTGCATTAACATTTACCATTTAATTTCAACAGAAATATACCATGAGATTACCAATATCAGTCTTTACAATAGTTTTGGATTAGAACCCATAATAAGAACATCGCAACACAAAATCAGAAAACTAAAAACAGGAATTTCAAATCAAAAATCGGAAATCACCTCAGGCTTAGTGGTCCTTGCAATTGAATGGCGTGTAGAGTTTTGATTTAAATATTTAATGCTAAAATTTAGACTTTACCGTTGTGATGATTATGTAGTGGCCATGACCAGATAGTATTCCAAACCCCATTGTTATGTTATGGCTGAAAATACATAAGTCCGTATAACGTAAAATCAAATTATCCATTCAGTAATATAGAAATTTGAACATAAAGTCAAGATTTTTCTTACCTTAGTTTGTCAAAGTTATATATAAATAAAACTTTGATTTTTTAAAACTTTTTTAGAATTATATGAAAAAATATACCAAAAAATTTGTGTATAGATTGTTAAAAACCACACTATTTCTCATAGAACACGTTCTTGTTATCATAGTGACATCTAAGTGTTTCAAATATGCATATAAGATGTAAAAAAACAAATCAAAGGACTGTCATTTTGGTGTTGGTCGTACGTCCTTTCATGATAGCCCATCAATAATTTTTGGAATGTATGCATCTCAATTTTTTAAAAAAATGTTTTTTTATAAAAAAAAATTATTTTTTTATTTATCTGCAAGGAAGTAATCAGATTATATAACCAAAAAATAAGTAAAACCTACCTTCCATTTTTTGGAAAATACAATGTCATAGTTGAGTAGTCTTCTCAAAATACAGGGGGGGGGGGGGGGAATATATGCATGTATCTTCAACGTTGAAGATAAATTAGACCAATAAAAAATAGACGGTAGCTATAACCTTTTTTGGTTATATAATCTGAGTATTTCTCATCAGCAATCACAAACTGGGTTCTTTGTACACAATCTAGAATTTGATGTCTGAATAGAACACCCGAATCAAAAGATATATTCATAACCAAGTTGCCCAAGACAACGGGTGGACTTGATACCATATGGGTCATCGTCGATAGATTGACCAAGTCTGCACACTTCTTGCCGATTAAAGAAACAAACAATATGGAGAAACTTACAAGAACTTACATTAAGGAGATTGTACGACTGCACGGTGTTCCCTTATCCATTATCTCGGACAGAGATAGTAGATTCACTTCGAGGTTCTGGCAGTCGCTACAAAGTTCCTTAGGAACTAGGCTGGACATGAGTACAGCCTACCATCCAAAAACAGACGGACAAAGTGAGAGAACTATCCAAACCTTGGAAGATATGTTGCGAGCCCGTGTGATCGACTTTGGGAAAGCATGGGATACTCATTTACCCCTTGTCGAATTTACCTACTACAACAGTTATCACACGAGCATAAAGGTTGCTCCATTCGAGGCCCTTTATGCCCGAAAGTGCAGATATCCTCTGTGTTGGGCTGAGGTGGGTGATACCCAGTTAGCTAAAGGACGAGTTCCTGAAAGCACTCTCACAGGTCCGGAGATCATAAGGGAAACGATGGAGAAGATCATTCAGATTGGTGAACGATTGAAAGCCTCTAGAGACCGACAGAAAAGCTACGCTGATAAACGTAAGAAACCATTGGAATTCCAGGTGGGTGACCGTGTTCTATTGAAGGTCTCACCATGGAAGGGATTGATACGCTTCGGAAAGTGTGGAAAGCTAAATCCAAGGTACATTAGGCCTTTCGAGATTCTCTCAAGAATCGGCCCAGTAGCTTACAAACTTAACTTACCGCGCGAACTCAGTAACGTACATTCTACCTTCCATGTATCGAACTTGAAAAAGTGTCTGTCCAACGAGACTCTTGTAATCCCACTCGATGAGATCGAGATCAACAAGAGCCTCAATTTCGTGGAAGAACCAGTAGAGATCATGGACCGAGAGGTCAAGCAAACGAAACAAAGTCGTATCCCGATAGTGAAGGTTCCCTGGAACGCCAAGCGGGGACCTAAATTCACCTGGGAGCGAGAGGATTAGATGAAACGGAAATATCCTCATCTTTTTACTTAGTTATTTGTAATAACTTAATTGCTTAAACTTTAATTTCAGGACGAAATTCCCTTTAACGGGGGGATGATGTGACAACCCGACATTTTCATTCGGTCAAACCCTAAAAATCAATCACTTCATATTATAAGTCAATTTCATTTCTATTTTTTTTTAACAAATTTAAAATTAGTTTGACTATTATAATAACTTATTCTTTAAATGAACGGGTGAAAGGATGTGCTGTCTCGGGTCTTGAAATTTCAAAACCGCGAATACCACGTAGCTTAGAAGTTCACGGCCAAACTTTTATGTTTGGGCCGTAAACTACCCCAAAAACCGTAAACTCATGCTTAAGCATGAGTTTACTCCCCAAAGTGCATCACTTCTCATTTTTCACCCTAAAGAGTAAACTCCAAACTCTCTCAAGTATCATCTCGGTTTTCGCCCGATTTCCCGAAAACGTACGTGTTTCTCGACTTGATTAGTTGATATAACATAACATCTAGTGATTATACATCCTTTAATCCATCAAATTTCATGTTTTGATTAGATTTCCAAAACACCAAGAACACACACTAGTGTTCTTGGACTTGTAGTTCATTTCAAGCTTCCTCAAAGTAAATACTTCTATCCTAGAGTCATTTAAAGGTTTCTATACATCTTAATATCAAGTAAATGTCCCAAGAACACCAAGAACAAGGTGTTCACGGTTTTGGGAGGCTCCCAAAACCGTAAACACCAAGTATAGTGCCAAAGGGGTGCTTTAGGGTGTCTAGGTGCTTCACAATGTCTTAAGGAATTGTTTAGATCATTCCTTGAAGTCTTTATCACATAAAAGAACAAGGAAACACTCATTTATATGTGTTTATGGTTTGGGTATCTCCCAAAACCGTAAAAGCCTCAAAAGTTGTATAAATGTCCCATATTTGTTCCTTATGCCTAGCATCTAACCTAGACTATTACCATGATGAGCTAAGGACTTGAAAACACCCCAAATACCATAAACCTTATGGGTTTACGGTAGTAAACCCAAAGGAAAATGGTTTAGGGACCGTAAACTCCAATTAACAGTGAAATGGTGCCCTAGTACCTTCCATGGTCACATACATCAAGTAGAAAGGCTTCTAGGGACTCTTAAAGCTTCAAACAACAAATGGTCACAAAGGGGGTGAGCTTATGACCGTAAACCCAAGGGTTTACGACCGTAACCCCAAGGGTTTACGACCGTAACCCCTTTTGCTAGTGACCATAAGACCGTAAACTCCCTAAAGGAGTGTTCCTTGAGCCCCAAGCACACTAGCATTTCCCTACAACACGTAGATGCAATCCTTGGGACTTATAACACTTGTATAAGGTGTTTAGTATGTCCTAGGGTGTCTTAACTTTGTTAATTAGTTGTTCAAAAACTAATTGTATACATATATGTGATATTATATGTTAACTAGGATCATAGAGTGTGTTCAAGACTTCACTTGACACCTAGCAATCCTACACCTTCAGTTCATCCGTACCACTCACTACAGGTGAGTTCATACCCCTTAATCTATGTTTTAAATGATTTTAAATGCTTTAATGGGGGGGGGAATACAAGGAGAAAACAACATGCTATAGAATCAATCATATGTGATTTATAACTGTGTTTTCATCCAACTGATTTCACATGCTTCAAAATGTGATGTATGAAATGGTTTTCTATCTTAAAAATACTTTGTTATCAAATGTATTACTTTTGAAATGTTTATTAAAATGACATCAAGTCATTGTTAATTATTGTTCAAAACTCTTAAATGTCTTACAAAACCATTTTCATCTTCTTGAACAAAACTATATCTATACACTTATGTTCTTATCTATGTATTGATATGATAGCTTTCGTCCTTCATTCAGTTTCCCAAACTCTTGTGTAACAAGGGTGTATAAACCTGCTTGGACAATCAATTACCTTCCAGTTAACTATTATAGGGATAGTTAGGAGATACAAAACATTATTCCTATTACAAGGAAT